GGGGAAAAAAGGGGGAAGGACTGCTCTCATATTGACTATGTAGCAGGCCAGTGACTGTGATCTGTCCCTTCTAATCTCAGTGCTCTGGGGCAGAGATGGAAAAACAGCATAAAAGCCAGCATTATTTGCACTGGCCAGCTTTCTGCTTTGAGGTCTGACAGTTACTGAGCTATCTTCCAGTGGCTCAGGAGCATTAGACAACAAAGGCTACTACTAACATTGATTTGAATGATTTCCTATTTGCAAGCCTAGCAAGTAGGATTCCATAGTACCTTTTGCTTTCTTCTACATCCTTTTATTTTATTATTTCTATATTCATTGTTGTATTCTTTTCAATTTTATAATTATATTGATATTACACTTTAGAATTTATATAGGAAGGGGGATACATTTATATTTTATTTACATACATTTATACCTTACAACATATTACATATTGGGGGTACCTCAAGGTACCAGCATGGCTTGTGAATGCTGTGATGCTGGGGTGCATGAAGCATCCCACAGGAGTGCAGGGGGGCCCTCTGTGTGCTCTGCGGTGAACCTGGAGTTGAACCAGAAGTACTTCTGGCTTCTTTACTATTCCTTCCATCCAGGAACAGCATACACACACCCACACCCCAACTGCAGGTGCTTCCTCAGCCTGACACAGGGTTTTTCAACCTGAAAGCTTGCTCAGATATATTTCTCTAACTATTCTGTTGGTCTGCTAAAACATGAGATTAGATTGACCCAAAGGAAAGGACCTTGTCTGCCAGTGCCATGTCCTTAGACCAACACCCATAGCACCTGACTGGAAGGATGCAGGGCCCTGGACCCATCTAAGCTGCAGGGCTGGGGCTGGCAGGGAGAGGTCTCTGGCAGGTGCTGGGGGAGGAGGTCCTGCAGAAAAGAAAAAGAAAGAAAAAAAGAAAAAGAAAGAAAAAAAGAAAAAGAAAGAAAAAAAGAAAAAGAAAGAAAAAAAGAAAAAGAAAGAAAAAAAGAAAAAGAAAGAAAAAAAGAAAAAGAAAGAAAAAAAGAAAAAGAAAGAAAAAAAGAAAAAGAAAGAAAAAAAGAAAAAGAAAGAAAAAAAGAAAAAGAAAGAAAAAAAGAAAAAGAAAGAAAAAAAGAAAAAGAAAGAAAAAAAGAAAAAGAAAGAAAAAAAGAAAAAGAAAGAAAAAAAGAAAAAGAAAGAAAAAAAGAAAAAGAAAGGACTGTTACAGTTTTTCTGAGATGCTGCTGGCGCTACTGTGCTGCTGCTCACTAAGTTATTATTTTACCTATTGTCATTTAAAGTGGTGGTCTGGACTGAGGCTATAGGGAAGGAGGAGGAGACCTCATTGGGGCACACTACTGTGTTGCCTAGAGGCCCCAGTGCCAGTGAGGGATCACCTTAACATACATGCTGCAGAAGAAGCTTCTGCAGGAGAGGAAAGAAAAGCTCTGATACAGTTGGGCTGCCTGAGGTGCTGCTGGTGCTACTGCTTACTAAGTTATTTTATTACCTGTTGCCATTAAAAGTAGTGGACTGGGATGAGGCTGTAAGCAAGGAGACCACCTCATTGGGGCATACAACCATGTCCTGTAGAGGCTCCAGTGCTAGTGAGGGCATGCCCCCCCCCACACACACGTTTTGCTCATCAGCAGCCTGAGGTGCAGTTTCCCAGAAACCCCTGCACCTATCTCCTTGAAAGCTGCCAGGCTTCATGGCCTCATTAGGGCCTAGCATGCCTGCAGTTTTCACCCCACTGTGCCTTACAAACATGTGACATGAGCTTTGCTTTCAAGATTTTGAGGTGCAGTTTCCCAGAAACTCCTGCATCTATCTCCTTGAAACTTGACAGGCTTTGTGGACTCAGTAGGGGCTACCCTCCCTGCTGTCTACATTTGAATCAGGCAAGAAATGACAAAGTTAAAGGTAGTTTTGCGATTCCCCATTATAGCCTATGGGTGAAACGTTGAAACAGTTGAAACTGTTTCACTGTTTCCACACAAAACAAAATGAAACTCAAAATGAAACACTGTCCCATCAAAACAGAAGTGTGCTGTTTCACACAACCCTAACAGAAAGGCAGTTATAAAACTTTGATAATTAGAGGAAGGCACTCAAATATGGTAATGAGACTAGTGTTAAGAACGTAACTAGGAAAATTTCTGACCTGGTATCCACCTCGCTTTATTTCTAGCCTGTGTTCAGGCAGGTAGATTACAATGGGTCATCTCACTGTTTTAGTGTAATCTCCAAATAATGATTAGGACCTGCTCATGTTTTCTTCTAACTTTCATATTAGTGCCAGTTTTACAAGTATTTCTGTATTTTATGTTCAAACTTTTGACCTTCTTCTGTATCTTTCAAATACAGTGGATTTTCTAGTGATCATATCCTGAAGTCCATCTTAATTCACACATAGTACATATTTGAGCAAAATTCCATCTAAAGCCAGTGAGAGTCTTCCTTGAATAAGGATGTCAGGCTTCACATCTGTATGTTGAAATCATTAAAAGGTTATAAGTTCAATTTGGATAGGCATCCAGGAGTTCATGAAGGCTTAAGGCCCTATTGTGATGAAAAAGGACAGAAATCTATAAGATATATATAGATTCTCTCAGGTCCTTCAAAGACTCGAAACTGAAAATAGAATCAATATTTCTTGCATAAGTAACAAGCACAGAGTACAGAATTTTCTTTAAAAATTAAATGGGAAACTTTGTATATATTAGTATAATCAGTAGTGTGGAATGCTTGCTTAATCATAATTACATTCTTTAAGTTGTGAACACCACAAAATACAACTTTTCCCCAAATCTGTCAGAGAAACTAAGTAGGACAAATATGTCAGATGGAAGTTATTAATTGACCTTTAGTTAGGTGCTAGTTGGCATTAAATACAATATTTGGCATCAAAACTAATTTGTGTATTGACACCAATAAAAATTAACTAACTTGAACTTGTTACAGAAAGGTTTCTGGTCTGGATATTTAAAACCTCTTGTTAAGATCAGCAATTAATGATCAGCAGCAACTAATGATGTACAAAGTAGTTCATAATGGAAGAGAAGCTATAATATGAAATATTCTTATCATTCATTTTTGATAAATTTTAGAAAAGGTGATTCCTAATGCATTTTATGTAACAACATTTAGGTAAACAATAGGAATTTATATAACTTCTTTACACAGTTAGGAAATCAACCCATAGTGTCTCTGAACTTACTTTCTCTGAATGAGATGCCTGTGTGAATTACAATTAAATCAACAAATAAAACCCAGACCAGATCTTTCATTGTTTTCATCACCTATGCATGTGTGCTGGAATACCTTAATGTTATCATGGCTCTTTAATATTACATCTGAATTTTTATGCACATTTAAAGTTAAATTTGAAATTAAAATTTACATTTGAATTTAGTTTACAAATGAATTCTCTTTCAAAATGTTTTTCTCCTACTTTTTTTTTTTTTTTTAAATTACTTTGGTACTATAAAATGGAGAAATGGGGGAAGAAGGGTATAAAATGGTAGTCATTATTATCCTTCTATTTCAAATGTTCTGTAATTTTTTTTTAAACTTGTCCATTATTTCCTTTTTATTTGCTTCCTATCATTTTGCTGTGTGGTATACTTCACATGTACCTAAATGTCAGTGACCAGAGCTACTTTCAATAGTTTAGCAAAAATCAAATTATTAACGTCTACTAAAGGTAGCTTTTCTTTGATATAATATAGTGTTGAAAGCAGCATGTAGTCACAGAGTAGATCAGAGAGTGGAGCCAAGGGAAGTGCCAAAATAAAAACGTGCTCATTCTGCCAGTTAAGGGAATCAAACCCTTGAACTATGTTCTTCAAAAGCCTGTAGTAAAAAATGGAAAAGAAGAGTAAAAGGAGAGGAAACTAAGTGTATACAATCCTTTTCTTGTTTCTTTTTTTCCTGTTTATTACATTTCCATGTTATTGGCCAAATTCTATTCCACATATTGAGCATCCCAGTAAGTTTGGATTTCTGGGCGATTCTTTTCTAACCTGTACAAGTCATGACAACCTCTACTGTTTCTACTTTAGTAACATTATCCTCTTGCCCTTAGACTGAGTCACAAAAAGCAGTGAGGAGCAGGAGGAGGGATCCATCCATCTTTTTAAGGGACTCAGCAAGGTGAAAACATGAGTTGATCTAATAAAAGATTTCAGAGAAGGTTCTTTGGATAAATCTGATCATCTCACTTAGGCACCTAAGTTCACCTATGCATCTAGTATGTGGAATAGAATCTGATCCTATTGATATATTGGTTTCTCACAAGTAGATGGGATAATTGGGTGATAATGTTTGTGATTCTGTTGTAATATAAGTAATAAACAAAAACAAACAGACAAAAAAACCTCCCCAAATCCACAAAAACTGCTGTGGTTAGCCAATTGTGAAGAGTTCTCTAACTGCCTGCAACTAATATATTATTCTCTTTAGAAAGAGATAGATATAGCTATCTATCTATCTATATAAAAAAATTAAATATCAGAGGAAACTTTAGAAGAATTGATGAAGAATGAAATAATCAAGTATTGGGAATGGAATTGAAAATGAGGAAATTGCTAGCATAGTTTTGTATGACAATCTGAGTTCATTTTAAAGACCTCACAGGGGCAATAAAAGTACTTCATTAAAGAAACATAATGAATATGATCTTGGTTTTTAATAAAAGCATTTTATATAGAAATACAAAGAAAACACACACAGTTAATAGCATCTTAATCTACAGATTAACAATACATCAGTGCAAGATAAAAAGTAAATTAGCTTGTATGTTTCAAATGGTTGAGACCAATTTTATTTAAAAGCTGCCAGAATGATTCACTGGCAACTTTAAGACTAGAGGTGGACATTTTTTTTTGGCAAATTGTAAATTTGTCAAAATTTACTTGGCGGGCAGGGGACACAGCTATTCACTGAATTTGATCAATGCTTGTAAATAGCTTCTGCTTGAATACATGGGAAACATTCAGAAAAGTTCAGATGTTTTGCTTTAGAAGTGGCAGAATGAAAGTCTCAGTTTTTCATCTGAAAATAGATATGTATTAAAAGGGGTTGAAATTATAAACAGTCCTAACATGTAACAAATGCTTTGGGTTCACTCCAAGCAAAAATTTTATAAAATTTTAACACTAGATACAGATGAAGAAAATGAGTGAGTCATAAATGGAATGTGTCATCCCACAGTAGAATCTTGAACTTTATAGATATAATGAAAAAGAAGATACTTTTAATGAAGTGCAGCTTTAGGAAATAGATGAAGAAAGGAATACTAGGAGGTAGTCAATGATCAGTGATAGTGGGATCACAATGCATATAGGACATAAAGAAACAGATGATGTTCAAGGATATGTAACTAAGCTAACCGCATTTAAATTGAAGGTAATGATTCAACTATATAGGATCTGATTTCAATTGTTGTAGAGACAAGCTTGCTTTAGCAAGGACATTGAAATCTTAGTAAAAGTCTAATTTTATTTGGGCTGTGTCTGTCAAGAAAAGCTCAAGTACTTATAAATATTTAAACTTTAAATATGGGAGGGCATTCAGAAGTAAAATATACATATATGTGGATGACATATGAGACTCACCAATCTGGGAATGAACATTGTTTTCATCAGCAACTGTATGGGAAAAAGACTACATTTATGGAGACATGGGGTGCATCCAGAGGAGTGGGCACATGCTTCTTGTAGTATCTCAAACCCCTTTGAGATGCTGCAAGAGGTATGTGGAGGAATAAAAATAAATAATAATAAAAAAACAAAAACAAAAACCCCAAAACATTCCCCGCAATGAAAATTTGCAGCGTGGGGGCAAAATTAGACTGCCTGGATATGGGGTCAAAAAAAATGTGCTGCAAAACAGCAGGGCGTGACAGTCCCAGACCATGCCTTGAGGCAACCAGTGGCTCAGGTCCTCCACAGAGATGCTCTGGTAGCCAGCCAGAGCATCTCTATGGCTGGGCCTTGCCATGGTGCTGAAGCACACTGCCTGCCTGTGCAGGACGAACAGTGGTGCAGGCTGCAACAACTAAGACCTGGGCTTTGTGCCAGGTAAGTAGGGGGCGGAGGGGGCTTGAGAAGGGGAGAGGGGACCATGGGGAGACCCTTGCCTGGCTCCAGCCCCTGCTCATTCCCCTGATCACCCTGCCACCCAGACCCATCACCCGCTTACTCCCACAGCCCCCAATCACTGGCCCCCTGCTCCCAGCTCCCCACTGGATGCCCCAGCCTACAGGCACTCAAAAAAAAGCCCCATGCTCACCAGCTGCAGCAGCAGCCAGAGAGGCCACTGGGAACTCATGACAAAGCCCTACCATGTGGTGTGGGACAGCATGGGGCAGCAGGGACTGGACCCGTCCACCTGGTACTCATGCTGCCACTGCCCTGTGGCGCAGATGCAACATGAGTCCCCACACTGTCTGGGAGGTGGGGCCACTGGGGCTGAGCACTGCCAGGCTCCAGGTGACAGCTAGAGACACCCCAGCTCCCAGACAGTGTGTGGTGCCCTGCTGAGTCATGCTGCACCTGTGCCATGGGGCAGCTACTGTGTGGGTGCCAGGCAGCTGGGGCCAGTCACTGCTGCCCCTCCACCCCACATGGAAGGGCTCTGCCATGAGTCCCCAGCATCCCCAGCTTTTTGAGTACCAGAAGGCTGAGGCTGGGTGGGGCAGTGATGGGGGGAGGGGCTGGAGATGAGCCCCTGGAGATGAGCTAGAGATGTTCCTCTGCTCATCTCCATCCCCTGCTCGTCTGGGGGGTGCTCTAGGGGCAGTGCTATAGCCCCCAGGGTGGGGCCAGGACCCTGCGGGGGGGGGGGCAGTTCACATGCTGTGTGTAGGGGCTCTGCCCTGTGGGGGGCAGGGGACCCACCTCTTCTAAGTAGCCCCCCCCCCACAGTCCCCCCACATGCAGTCCCTCTACACCTACCCAGACCTCTGCACATCCCCCCACCCCCTTCAAGCCTCACATCCCCCTATCACACACCCACCATGTGATAAGGAAACCAAGAACAAACATCAACATATAGATATTTAGGATTTATTTTATCATGATGACGGAGGCATTAGTAGCCTTCCAAATTGCTTTAAAGTTGTAAATATATCAATAAAACATTGCCCAACTGATTTTGTCTCTCCCTCCCCCTCTCCCCCATTTTACTTGTGGAAGAATGTAGATTTGAGGGTATTTTAAAGAGTGAATTTGGGATTTTTTTTTTTTTTTTTTTTAAATAGGGGATTTTGCTTTTTTTAAATATGGACT